TATATGTTCTTATTTTTAAAAATTATACATTGCACAGAGAAATATACTTTCTCCTCTCTCTGTGTGATGGATTTTATTTTTTCAATACATTATGCTTTACCTTTCCAAGAGCAGCAAACGGATCAGCTTGCTCCCACGAGATGGGTGCTGGTGGACGTGTTTTTTCAGGCAAACTTTCAGGTACAGCCACTAATATGAAAAACACATCCAAGACCGCGATAGCTGTCGCTAATGCTACGGCAAGATTCTCTCCATATGTATTCATGATATAAGCACCCAAAGCTGGACTTATTACCATACTCGCGGCAAAAGTTGCCGACACCTGGAGGAATAAACAAAATATAAACGTGATTTTATAAATTAGATAACCAATTATCATCAGATTATTTCTTGTCGTTACTTATGAAACAAAATTTTGGGCATTAAAATGCAGATATTGTCATTTCTAATCGTAAAAAATGATATTCACATACCAAGCCATACGCTAGTGATCTTTGATTTTCTTCCGTTACGTCCGCAACATATGCAAACACGACCGAGAATGTGCAAGCAAATACGCCACTGATAGAAATCATAGCGAAAAACCACCACGTGTTAATGCTCATTAGGGGAATTGGTGCGCATGTGAAGGCCACTGTGATGAGTAAAAAAAATTTTCGACCCCACACGTCGGAGAGAGCACCGATCAGTGGCGCGGAGAGAAAAGATAAGATTCCTTTGATTCCTATTATCAAGCCATTCATCAGGAACGTGTGATCCGGAAATGTTTCGTTCAGTACCCTAATAATAGGCATGGTTAATAGTCCCCATGCAAAGAATTCCAGGAATATTACGACCAATGCATGATACACGCTCGCCTCGCCGACACCGGAGCTCTGAAAAATAAAACACAACGGCATATTAAACGATCATCTTTAACACGAGCAGGTGATATATACGTATACACAGGATAATCTCTAATGAAAGTGTAGGAGTCGCAGCGTATATAAAATAAATTTCGATAAATAGATATGGCCTTCTCTCTCTCTATCTCTGCGCGTGTACCACAAGTGGCAGATACTTATGATATTTTAGCAGCTGACCTTGAGGTGTCTGTAGCATTGCTGAACAAACGTAGGGGGAGGTGCGAGTTTGGCTATAGCGTGATCCTGACTGTTATGTATCTCGGAACAGGTCGGGCCCAAGCCCTCCGTTCCACCGTTTGCCCCAGGGGGCATGACCCCTAAAAAATGTCGCTATATATGTTTCCTCTCATATTCTCACGTTTTAATCGATACTCGTGCCGTCATTCCGCTTACGGGCACGTGACAAAGAGACAGACAATCTTCTCTCAACGTCATATCAGCGCACCGCCACAGTTTCCACAGTTTTGAATTAAATTTCAGTTCGTCCTTCGATATTACTTGCAGCCTGCTCGTCAAGCCCGCACGATTTCTCATAGCTTTTCTAACGTAACGTCTAAAATAGATAAGATACCGCACCATGATTGAGATGCATGCCTCGCTCATACATTTCCGCTACATTTTATCTTAATTATTACGAATAGTTTCTTCAGTCATTCTGTCACGACTATTTGATTTATCGGCGTTACATTTGCATTACAAATGAGGTGGTTACAACCAGGTATCCGTCGTCACTATTATATGCGTTTGTCACGTCCATTAGAATCGGCAATGCCCGTTAATACAAAACTTTTTGATTAAAGATTTACGACGTTCAATCAAAACTATCGGTCTTTACATCTATTTGTCATTACTTTTGCAAATATTGAATCCTATGTCTTCTTATGTACACTCTGCTTTAATGAGAGAGTTTCGGTAAGAAATATTAATTTTAATCGTGAGATACAACAAGTCACTCCGTTTTCTCGTCACTCTGCGCTTCCTCGTTCGCAATTATATTTACGGGAACGTGACATAATCAACCTTTCCGACGATCTCTGACGGTCGTCAACTCGTTTGAACATTATTATGGCAGTGCAAGGCTCAAGCTAGCGCGTCCTTCCGTGATATCCTCTTAAAATCCGTTCGACGCGCGCATTTTACATTTGTTAAAAGTAACTCTGCGATCATCGAGTCACATGACGTACGTAGTCCTGTAACGCTGTCGTCTCGCGTACAGTGCCAAATCGCTGCCGTCATTGGGTTTTTTCTTGGCAAGTTACGAGATCCGGAGAAGCGAAGCAGGGGAGCTACGTCGCCCCTACGACTGTCTACGACGGGGTGAAGCTTTGAAGCTTATTATAGGAAAACCGAGAGGTGTCTTTCACGCATTGTCAAACATCGTGTTTCTCACACACTCTCCCTCTATCGCTCTTTGTGACAGAGATTTTCCCTCATGACGAACGGGGAGCGCGAGGCGCCGAGGCGAGCGACGCGCGGTCTGCTTCCCGGGGCCCGGGGCCCGGGTCGACGCGACGCGACGGCGAGCGGCCTTGATTCGATCGCGCACGGTCGCGGCGCGCACGGTGACGTCACGGAGATATCCACGGACGGGAGAGACTCGGCGACGGGGACGCTTTTCTCTCGGCGTCTACTCGTTCGCGGTGATCCCCCCGTGCAAATCGGCGACGCGCGACACTCGACGTCCGGGAGTCTTCTGGTGCGGGGTGCGCGATCCCCGAAGCGGCGGCGGCTTTGCTTTGCGCCGCGGACGGAGTTTTCCCTTCTCTCTCACCCTCTGTCCGTCACCCCCTCTCGCTCTCGGCCTCCTGTCGCGTATCGCTATTCTTGGAGAGACCGCAGCCGTTCGTGGTGGCGGCGGCGGCGGCGGCGGCGGTGGCTGCGGCTGCTGTTGCGGCGAGATCTCGGGCGATCACATATATTTCCAGCCGAGACCCTTCGCGGCGTCAACCCCTCGCCCTCGCGCGGTCCATCGAGTCCATTCGAGTCGCGCGGGACGGTGCACGCGACGAGGAATCAAACCTCCGCATATCGCGACTGCTCCAACTGCTCCCTCCAACTGCATCCCCACCCCCATCCCGCACCCCGCTGCGCCGGCCCGCTTGACGACATGACGACTTGAGCGTACATCCCCTTCGAGCTAACTCCGGAGTCCGGACCCTCCCCCTCCAGCCCCTCGAGTCCTAACCTAACGACGGCGACCTCGGCCAGCCGGGCCAGCTCAGACCTCACAGACCAGCTGGCGACTCGCTCGGAATGCTCGGATTACTCGGTTCCCTCGGGTGGCATCCTGGCACCTGGCACTTGGCATCGCGAGGGGAAGCTTCCGCTTTGCGTTTTACGGAAATAACCGCGCGATGCATCACGATCTATTGTCCGCGCGGATGGGAACGCATAACGCATCGTCGAATAATTGATCGATGCGCGCGACACTTGCCTGTTTATGCGCTACATGCTACGTGTGTATGTATAGCATGTATAGTGACGCGCGTACACGCGCGCAAGGAAAGATATACATATACGTACGTACGTACAACATATATGTGGCGTTGGCAATAAAAAAAAAAAGTACCAACAATGTCGCGCCGTAGAACATCTACTTTTATCTTTTCCGAGTTTAAATATAGAATAACCTCGGCAAAAACAATATTTAAAAGTCAAAACGGTTAAGGAAAAAATACCCCAAGTCGTTCCTTTCCGTCGGGCTGAACGACAGAAAGGAATTAATTCGATTTGTATCAAATACAAAGGCTTATCGAGCGATTCATTGAACATTGATTATCGGACATGGCGTATAATAAATAGCTTACGGCAACATTGATCATAGATATAAAGACTCGAAAGCAAAGTTTCTCTCTCTTTTTCCGTTAAGAGATGTAACCCAGAGAGTAATAAGAGTATAAATCAATCGGCATTTAAAATAAAAATACCAGCAATTAAAAATGCGATAAATTATACTATCTTCCGTCAGTCCGATTTTTTTCGTTCCACGCGTCGGATCATCCTTTTTAAATACACAGTTCAAAGGTGTTTACAAAAATTGATTAATCAGCTGATAACACGTCATATAGGTTATGTAGATAAGCTGCAATTATTGCAATCCTTTTTTCCGTGATTGTGCTGCACTTTGTCTCGAACAAAAAAAAAATGTGTGTAACAGAAAATGGAACGTGGGCGAGCAACCTGCACCTGCACCTGCGTAAGATAACGATTTTTTGAGATAACGCGCGAATACTGGGAAATACTTAACGCATAGCACACGCACGTCACACGTATACGTTGTAAATGTGTACGTGCGCTTGTCACGTCTGTTTGAGAAATAATTCATACGTATAGGTGCAAATATAATATATTTATCGACAATTAAGCGTCCGTGAACCTTAACGTCCCCGTTTTATCTGTACAATTTGTTGCAGAAATATCGCAACAAATTGCTCTAACGTAACGTACTCTTAGGCCGGTATTCATAGTCTTCAAGATCGTCTTAAGTAATGTCTTAAGACGCTAATACGGCTCTATGATTGGTTCATGACATCTTAAGATTGAACTTAAGACGGTCTTAGATAACTATGAATACCGGCCTTAGAACGCGATCGTATGATTTTCGCCCAAGTGTCCAAGGGACAGGGGTCGGAGTCGAGTTTCCGCGTGAACGAGGCAACTCGTTAGGTACCGATCGCGCGGTGCTCCGCGAAGATAAAATGGGACTCGAGATAAAAGCGATGTGTATCAGGGTATCGCGGGCACGGGCAGGACGCAGGTATGCCGCGGGTGTCGGAGGGAGAGAGCGCCCAGCGCTCGGGGAGGCCAGCGGCACGGGGGCACGGGGCACGGGCGCCGCCGCGCGCCG